GGGTCCGGGCGCGGCCCGCACGAGGCTGGGGCCGGGGCCAGGGAGGGGCTCGCTCGGCGCGGCTGGCGCGGCGGCCTCCCGGGACTGGGAAGGGGGCCGGAGCAAAAATGTTCCTTATTCCAGCGTCTTCCTGCCTGGCCCGGCTCCACCACTCCCTCCTAATAAACCGTTTCCTATTGCCCAGCTTGCAGACGGCCGCCCGTCGCCCCTCGCTGGGGCTGCAGAGCCGGACCCTCCCCCGCGCGGCTCCCAGACCCCGGGGGCAGCCGTCACGCCAGCCCCCCCAGCGCCGGGATCGCGGCCCCCGCCCCGGCCCCGAACCTCCCACATCCGCCTCCCCGAGGGGGCGGGCCTTGGACTCGGGCCGCGGGGGTCCTGTGGGGTCCGGGCCGGAGCCATGGGGGACCAGAGCAGACACAAGAGGCACCTCCGACGGCCGGGAGTGGGGGGGCGCCCCTCTCGCTAGGAGCCGCTGAGGGGGCGCCCTGGAACCCCGGGATGGGAAGGGGGGCATCGAGAGAAGGACATGCAGGGAGGGGGGACGGGAGGGAACTTACCTGCCCTTCTCCCACCCTCAACCCCACCTAGAAGCTCAGAGCAGCAAGGGCAGAGTTTGGGGCTGGCAGGGTCCCAAATATTTTGGCTCCCCCCGCCCCCTCTCCCCCGCCCTTGGGGACTCTCCACTCTGTCCAAATCCTTCGGCCTCCTCCCTCGGGCCCCTTCACCCCCTCTTGTCCCCTCCCCTCTTCCGCAGCCTCTCTTGGTTCAGCTAAGCGCAGGGTAAACAGGCCCAGATGAGGCAGCTCGCAGTCAGTGGTGAGGACGGGCTGAGCCCCCTCTGCGGAAAGTGACAAGGCCGCCTCTCCCCACCATGGGCAGCCAGAATGGAGAGAGGGGTGGGAACCGCCTTGGATTGCCCCCTTCCAGGCAGACCCCTCGCCCCACCAAATGGAGCTTTAGAGCCAGGGCCGGGAACGTCCTTTGGAACACTGGTGGGACAAGGCACTCTGGGGGGAGCAAAATGGCATCTCCCGGGGAGAAACAAAGTCTTCCTCCTGATGCCTGTGCACAGACTCGGAGCCCTGACATCATTTGCTCCAACCACTGTGAGCACCCTGAAGGCAAGACTCCTGTTTTATGGTTTTATTCCTAGCCTCCTGGTTATCCACAAAGACCCTGTAAGTCAGGGAATCCGGACCAGTTGCCTTAGACAAGTGACACCTCTCCATGCCTCAGTCCCCCATCTGCTAAATGGGCATAATAAACAGAGCCAGCCTCATAAGGTTGGGAGAATGGAGGGAAATGATGCCTATCTCAGTTCATAGCGAAAATGCTGGCTGGCTGAGCCTAACACAGGTAGGCCCTCAATGAAAATGTTTATTTAATAAATGATAAGGCTGGGGAAGGGGTGGCCTCAGAGCCAAGTGGAAAGATGTGGGTATTAGGAGCAGGAGCAGACCTCTGAGGTGTCTTGCTCTAATATGGGGATTCTGTAAGATGGGCCAGAGCCCCCCGCCCGTTGACAGGAATAGAGGCTGGGGGAGACAATGGCTAAAGGCTCAGACAGGCATCAATTGTTGACCTCACTTCCTCTGCTGAGATGCTCCCCAGCCCCCACCCGGCAGCTGCTTCACAACTTGTGAGCATTGTGAATTCCAGAACCAGGGCACACCCAACTTTCAGTGTCAGGACAGAACTGTGTCCTGCAGCCAATAGGAAGTACTATGGGATTACAGTATCTGCTCTTTCAGATTATAGCGGCCACTTCGGCACTGTATTAGCTGGAGAACTGGGAGTGTGGCCGCCTGTCCATCGTCCAGACCCACTCTCCCCCCGGCCCTGCTATGGCTTCTGATAAACCTCTCCAGCCCGGGGATCTCTGTCCTGGGAGGCGGAAGTGGGGGCTTCCCCAAGGGAAGCATTCAGTCTGAGACACACACTGAGAACAGCAACGACGGGATGGACACGAGCTGAGCGTCAGTGGGGATGGGGGACTTTATCTGGGAAAGGCTCATGAAACAGATAAAAGAGTAGGGTTTGGAGGAGGAAGACAGGGCCTGGTGGGGGATGGGCTGTTTGTCAATGCTGGGTCTCCTCCACCTCCCGGAGCGCTGAGCCCTCTGGACCCTAACTGGTGCTCTTTGGGGCTTCTTGAACCCCATGCCTTCCACAGCACGAAGAGAATCTCAGGAAGGCCTCCGAGGAGGGACAGAGAGTTGGAGAAAGCCCAATGGAGATGGAACCCAATGAGGAAAGGGAGAAGGAATTACAGACTGTGTCCAAGTTGACAAGAATTAATTACTCAGAAGAACCAGCTGTTCCCCAAAATCAGTGAGGACAGAACAAGAGGAAACAGGCCCAAAGGACTTGAGATTTAGATTTAGATATTCAGAAGGATTTCCCAGCGGCGTATGAAGCAGAGGCCTGGAGATCCTGGGAAGGGTGTGTGTGGTAAACCACAAGGAGATCTCACTTGTGGAAGGCAGGTGACATGGAGTCTGCATGAAGGCAGGAGAATGGACAACTTGACCTTTCAGAACCAGATATGAATACGGAGTTGAAGCATTGCTCTTGACATGAGGGCGGGGCCAGCTTCATGGGTGTTCAACCTGTGCAGACACACAGGGCTCCTGCTTGGTTTAATGCTCTGCTGTTGCAGAGCATTCTTCATGATGTTTGAACAAAGGACTCAGCATTTTCATTTTGCACTGGGCCCCACAAAGTGTGTAGCTGGTTCTGCATTAGGATGAGTAGGAAGAAACAGCAAGGGAGGAAAATTAGCAGACGGTGAGCTGGGCTTTGCTCCACTAAAATAGCAGAGTGGGAGATTTAGATTAGACAACCTAGGGATTTTTCAGATGTGAGAAACAAGAAGACAGTAGAACAGGGTACCCCAGGAGGAAGAACTGTGGGTCTCCCTTGTGGGAGAAGGACAGATATCTGTGAATTCCGTTTATCCACCTATTCAATACAGAGTCTCAGCTTGGTGGGCTGGATGCAGCCTGAGTTTTGCCTGGAGGAAGAGGGAGAGGAAGTGACCTCTTTAGGTCTCCTTCAGCTCAGGGCACAAGGCACCCTGGTGTCCCGAGGAGAGCAGTAAACCAGGGGTCGTGGGGCCTGGGTTCCAGCCCTGGATCACCTCTCTGGGCCTCCGTTTCCTCCTCTGTACACTGAGAGGCTTAGACCTGATATTCCCGAAGGTCCCTCCAGGTCTTATATGATCTTCTTTGGCTCTGAGATTCAGGAAACTATCAGGTCCCTAGCCCCAACACCACAGCCCAGGTAAAAAGGCAATTTGGTGATGCCAAGGTTTGGGGAGGGTGGGAGCAGCCAGAGCTCTGCCCAGTACCTCAGGAAGAGGCTGGCAGACGGGAGTCAGCCACCGAGTCACCTTCCTCTTCCTCTCCGGCTCCCCCAGGGTGTCCCTGGATGAGTTCATCCGCTCCTTGCTCAAACCTGAGCCCTCAGGATGATTCGTCTCAGGAAAGAAGCTCTTGTGGAAGGGGCATGTTGGAGCAGGAGTCTGAGATGAGACGGTGCCCACACGACACCTCGGGGTAGCCTGGCATGCAACCTGGGCTCTGTGGAGAAGCTGCTTCAGTGCCGCCTCCTCCCCATCAGGCCAGTGACCTCTGGATGGCCCTCCCTACTTGCCTCCTTGAGGCTCTGACTCTCCTCCACCAAACAGGCCCCACCACTGGAGGAAGAGGAGAGAGAGCGGAAAGGGCCCAAGCTTGGAGTCAGAGCTTCTGTGTGTGAGCCTCAGCTGTAAGAAGGGGCTGATGATGCCTTCTCTACCACATTCTCAGAATAAACGCAAAATATCTGTGCGAGTCCTCCACCAGCCGTAAAACCCACACGGATGACTGGTTCGTTTTAAGGGAAGGAGGCCGAGCTGTGGGGTAGGAAAAAGAGGATGAATTGGGCCTCGGGAGACCGGAGGCTCACCTGTGGGACAGCGGCTTCATTTCCTGACTGAGTGCTAAATGGTGACCCTTCTAACAGCCACCGGAGGGGTTGTGATACAGATGAAGGGGCAGCTACTGCAGGGCCTTCAAAGTGTGAGGCAGCCGTTCTGAAAAAAAATCAAAGAAATCTCGAATCAGCATGAGATAAAATCAATAAATAAGATTCTGCAGAAGAGTTGATAATGAGAAGGGACTGTACCTCTCTTGCTGAGGCCAACCCACTTCTCAAAGTCTCAGCTATTTGTTCCTCTGACATTGACTTCGACAACTCTAAATAATATGTTTATACTGCTACCTCCAGATTTTTTCAGCTTTATTGAGTATAATTGACAAATAAAATCGTGAGCTATTTAAAGTATACGTCGTGGTGATTTGATATACATATACATTGTGAAAGGATTCCACCATCTCATTAATTAACACATCCATCACCTCACATAGTTACCTTTTTTTTGGTGAGAACATTTAAGTTCTACTTTCTTAGTGAATTTCGATGACACAATACAGTGTTATCAATATGTAGTCAAATATAGTCACTATGTTTTACATTAGATCCTCAGAACCTATTCATCTTACAGCTGAAAGTTCGTACCCTTTCCCAACCTCTCCATATTTCCTACACCCTCCCAGCCCCTGGCAACCACTTTTCTACTCTGTTCTATGAGTTTGACTTTTTTAGATTCCACATATAAGTGATACCATGCAATATTTGTCTTTCTGCTATCTCTAGATTTAAAAGCTTCAGAATTTAGGTCATTTAGATTCTCTCCCTTCTCTCTCCCTCCTAATTATTGGTCATGATGTTACTATTTTGTAAATTTAAGTAATATACCTTTAGATCCTGTCCTATTAGTATCACACAGTATCTCTTGACTCTTCACTAGTTGAGGATGCTGGCA